TGATCAACGCTACTAATATGAACAAGTCCACACTTCTGTTGCTAGCAGCCGTGACTCTAGCGGGCTGCGACGAGGCGAGGAAGAACAAGTATGTCGATCCCTTCGCCGCATTGGACCGGCACATCAGTCACTCCCTCGCTTACCACTATCTATGGCCCTGGAGTCAACTGATACGAGCGGCCGCCGCACTAGATGTCGAGGAAAGTTTGGAGGAGCCCAAAATTATTTCTGAACCTGACAAATTCGAAATCATTTTGAGTGTGAAGCGATTCAAGCCTGACGAACTGAAAATCAAAGTCAAAAACCGATACATCATCGTCGAGGGCAAGCACAAGGAAGAGGGTGACGACAAGCGATTCATGACGAACCACTTCGTGCAGCGGTTCGTCCTGCCGCCGGGCAGCAAACCGGAGGAGGTTACTGCCGTGTTGACGGAAAACAACAAGCTCTCGATCTCGGCACCGAAGCACGAGCTCCCGCCACCACCGCCTGAAAGAGAGGTTCCCATCGAAGTGAGAGCACCTGAAGTCAAGACCGAGAAGATCGAAACGCTTGAAGCGTCGTCACTGAAGCCGGACGAGACCGTACAAGTGTCGTCTGTGGCGCCCCCCATTGAGCAGACCGGCGCAGAGGCGACGACGCACATCGGTAAGATAAGGAAGAAGGAATTGAAGGAGACTGCCAAAACAGCGAAGGACAATGAAGTGACGAAAGGCGGCGACGGCAATGGTTTGGACTACGCCCTCATCGAGCCAGAAGAGTGATATAATTAGATAGAAATTGAAGACTGAACTTTAGCTTTAATCGTGCCTCAGTGATATAAAATCTGAATGTGATCGTAGTCCCATACGTCGGCTGTTGTTATAGGTATGTTAAGGTTATTTGTTTTAGATAATAAAACGTTATTTATTACACAAAAATCTCTTTTATTTTAATTGTCCTTTAATGTAGCATACAGAACTTCAGTTAAATGTGTGCTAACAGCCATTTGTGGTTACAAATATTAAAAACAACAAAAATATTATAACTCACTTCTGTAATTCAGTGAAGTAAGCAGATTTTGCGAATTTCTATTGGCGCGGTTCTAGTATACCTCTCTCGTCTCTTCCAGATCCATACATCTATGGATACATGGGCGTCAGTTTTAGATATAAAAAAATAAAGTTAGGTTCGAAGTGACGGAAATCAACAGTTTTATCCAAAAAAAAAAAGACTTCGGTTAAAAATTACATATCACAATCCACATTATGGTTTCAGCATTACCGAACTTCTTACATAATCTTTGAACAGATTTTACTTCATATGCATAGATTTTATATAAATGAAGTTACTTTATATGTTTCCCATTGAACACGATCAGTATTAAATGCGTCCAAAACATGCAAAATTATTCACATACATAAATAATTAATTTTACATTATTAAAAATTTCATCAGTTTATTTTTCTTAAGATTTTCCACCTGCTTTTATGATAAGTGCAACAACCTTTAAAACTTTAACAAAATTTTAATGTTATAAAGAACAACAACAAAAGTTTGTAAGCTTAAATTAAATAGTTGAATTAATTCTGAGAATTCAATAAAATCTGTTTTGATTATATTATCAATGAAATTGAAAATGAGAAAGCGCATGGTATTTAAAGTAAATCAATGAGTTCATTGAACTCGTTAAAGTAAGTTTCCACTAACAACGTTTTTTTAAGAGTGAATGGGATAAAATTTGTTAAAAATGTATTTAGCATTGAAAACCCTTGGTAATGAATACTGAAAGTATTTTGATATGTAAAAAATTTAAAGATGTTTTATACTAATTAATAATTAATTGATCGGGACTTTAGTTAAGTTTGTTACGGTCTCTTAAAGAAAACTACAAGTAGAGTGTGTACAAGTGTCCATCATTCTTGTCCTTTTAACAAAAGATAATGCCCTAGTTAAAATTGAAAATAAAACGCTATAACACACTTTACGTATTCAAGAATTTTCTATAAAGTTCGATATGTAATCAAAACAAAGACTCATTAGGTAAATAACGAGAGGCATGCGCGTTGCAATTCGACGATAAAGGTTATGAAATCGCTTCGAACTCTGTACACTGTTATGTAACAACAGCGCTATGGCGTATTGTTCAACGTCGAACACAATGCCCAATTCCTACTAATGTTTTGTGTACTCGGCTGACTACAGTTTCCTCCTCCACTATTGTACTTTTTCGATAATTCACATAATCATGTGAGTTTTTTTTGTGATCGAATTACAATTTCCTCTGACTGTTTTCCGATCGCATTACTGGTTATTCATGTACGTCAATGGTAGACATTGGTGTTGAATCCTGCCATTATGGTGACCATAACCTGGCCTTGAAATTAGTTGAAATGGTTTACAATAATTTGATAAAGTTTTGCATGTAAAACGCATGAATTCGCCTGCTGTTCTTTTTCACATCGTTATTTTATGATGAATTGCAAGCGGTTCCTTTTGTGTCATTACCAACTATTTCTAACTGGTCATATAGCTTAACAGATGTGATCAAATACTAGTACCTATATCAAAGTTTTGCTTTATGTTAAACTTTGCTTCATTATCTCAACTTTACGTATGTTAAATACTTCTTTCAATCCATTTTACGATTCAATAAACTTATTCAAATTACTTACTATAAATATTTTAAGCAACCGAAAATAAAAACAAAATCATGTTCAAAAAGTACTCTACTTCACGCACAACTTTAACAAAGTTTTTAAACTTCTAATTGGATTCGTATCACGGGAGCCTTATCACGGAGTAATTAATGTCAAAATATTTTTAGAATTGCCTGTAATTTTATTTGACCTTTATAATGAGAAAACTTTTAGTACGATAGAACTAATTTTAACTTACAATAATTATTTTAAATGACAATTTTTCTCGTTATTTCCCAGCTGTATTATTAATTTTCATATCAGCTATAACGCTAACTTATTGTTGGAAATTTAAGAACTATGGCGTCTTTGTCGATGGAGCAATTCCCAGGCCTTCCTCTCTGGTTCTCTCTTTACAGCCTGATATGATACAACATCCACTTATTGCTTTATCAGTTGCATATGTTATTCTTGTTGTTCCCCTAATTCTTTTCCCTTCTATTATTGTGATTATTATGTCGTCGTATCTTATCAAAATATGTTGTGATGACGAACTCTCCGTATACATTTTTTCGAATATTTAATTAACCTATTTTTAATTTTGTGTTCGATAAATTATCATATAATATTCGTAAATTATAATATAACTAAAAATCTAATTTCATTTTCATGTGTACTCGACTAATTAACATTAGGCTTTATTATTCCTGTAATTTAGAAAATTTAACTAATGTTTATAAACGGTGAAGCGTAAAATTTTCCCAAATACAAATTAATTCAATGTAATTATTAACGAAAACATCAAGCCCCGTTTGTTTGCTTTGTTTGCAGTAAATTATATTAAGTTTAAGCTAGCCGGCTCCACAAGTGTTCAACGCAAATATCATAATTCGTAAAGGACATAAAATGTAGACTTTATTTAACGTTCTATCTGAATACGGAGAAATTGTTAATTTGTTTATTTTTACTTTGACAACGCAAATTGGTTAAACAGTAATTTAATATTGGTCGGGGAAAAACTTGAGCATTATTTGTATGTTAATTTTGTCAATTTATTCTTTTAATTTATATAAAGTGAATACATAAAAATATAATGTAACTGAAGTTTAAATAGATTAACTTCCATTTTAACACCCTGTAACTTACAAATGAATAGACGAAACAAATAACGACAAAAGTTTTTTTTTACTTTGAACTGTCACTTTTATAACACAGAACACTTTGGCCACCTAAGGCACTGGATTTTTTCCCCAGCCTATTTCAGATCAAGTAATGTTCTCATAAAGAACAAATAACGTAGAACGAAAAGTATTAAGAAGTAACATAACCTCAAAAAGTACTGCCGCAAACCGGTTGATTTATTTTCTGTAAACGTGAGTTTCCGCAGATATTTATAAACACGGTGATATTGCGTTTGTAGCTGTCCAATTCAACGATGGAAACATACTTACATATCTTTTCGAATGTGTTCCGTACCCAAAAGGTGAAGAGCAAGATACCCCTAAATAAAATAAATAGCAACAAAAAATACCACAACTATTTAATATTGCTTATACAATTTTTACAGGCGTACTAATTAATATTTTAGAATTAATATCATTCATCATTACTAAAATTTAATTAACTTTGCCAGTTTTCAATTAACAAATACTAGAATGTGTTATTTACAAATGAAAAGCCTTAGATACAAAAGAACCATTCGATGTTAGCTAATGAAGCCTTAATTATAAAGGGATTTATTTTAATCAGTAGAGAAATGTTAAAACCTTAATCTGATTTAAAATGTACTCAATATTCTTAATACTTAATGTTTATTTAAAAGTCAGACGTTCGTTTCATGCGATATTTGATTTATTAAATAATCATTTTAGAAGCAAGATACTTTAATCTTTAAAAAATGTAAAAGACATAAAAACTTGTATATTGATACGTCGTATTTAAAGTGTTCATTTATTTTCTTTTTTTAAAAATCCGCCGGGAATCAATTTTATCAAACAAATTGCATAACTAATACATTGCTATTGTCTCGCAGAAGGAAAATACCAAAACAAACAACTTATATTCTCAAGAAATATTTAAAATCCCGCATCGTGCGATTAATGTTTGTATAGCAAACGTTTGGAGAAGTTATGAAAAACAGCAATGAGTTTTCTTAAACAACTTTAATATGTAAAAAGTGAATAAAAACAATTTATCCTTATCTTAAACAAACAAAAATCTAATTTATAATAATTTTCGCACAATTATTTACAAATTTCTCTTATTGATATAATGACTTGTTGAACTAACATTTTTGTTACAAAATACAAATTAATTATTATTAATTGTAATAGTTATAAATAAAAAATAAATATTACGTCTAATAAACAATAGTAACCGTCGTTATATTCAATAAATACTATGGCTTTTATTAATTTAAAAGTTTAAAAGTAGCGCCAGTAATGGAGAAATTAAGAAGTAGAATATTTGGCGTGGTTTGGACAAAAGTAATGGGATTGAATGTGGATGCCTACAAATATAAGGAAAGACCAAAAAAAGTATGGATGGATTGTGTGAAAGAGAATATGCGTAAGATATGGGTGTTCAGATATGACAGCTAATTAAAATGTATGAGGGAGTACTGAGCCGACCCTTCGTAGAGATAAGGGCTGGTTGATGATGATTATGATGATGATGAAGAGCTATAGTAAGTAATATGACACTGATATAAAGCTAGCCAAAGACATCGCGACTACTAATATAAACATCCAAGAGTTGGTATCTATTTAATAATAATGAATAATTCGTAAGCACACGAGAACTGTTGGATACAAATAATATAATTCTACCAATGCTGAAAGACGTGTACTATAAAACATGGCTGTCTTGTAAAATTGATATTACAACGTTGGCATAAAATTTATCTTTAATGAATATCATTACCCGAGCTACAGACATTACGTAAAAATCTAAAATTATCTAAAACTTTGGCAACATTCAAACGAATAATCTAGAGTAGAAGAAAACAAGCTATATTGATTAGTATATGAAACTTTTTAGCTTTAAGTTTTTTTGACCGAATACGATCCGTCTGCGTCGTAAATAGCAGACTTTTTAAACCCATAGGTGTCGCTTTTGCCGTAGCTCGGTTTGCCGTAGCTTGGTTCGCCGTAGCTCGGTTTGCCGTAGGGTTGATGGTCGTAATAATCGTGATGATGGTCATGATGATCGTAATAATGTTCACCATGGTCGTATTCCACGTAGTGATCGTGTTTCTTCTCTTTCAAGTAATGTATGAGCCAGATAACAAAGTGCCAAGCCTTCGTCAATATCACGTAGAAAATAATACCGTATACAATCTTCAAGACAAATAGTTTTGTTGCCACCACGTAGAAGAAATGCACTGAAAAGAAATAATACATCTTTATATATATAATTCTTCTGTGCGTGTGTATGTCACTGAACTTCTCTCAAACGACTGGACCGATTTTGATGAAATTTTTTGTGTGTGTTCAAGGGGATCTGGGAATGGGTTAGATTCACAATTTTGTCAGCTGGACAATGTTTTTTTAATTAAATTTTAATTTATTAGTAGTTGTTGTTTTTGGAATGTTTTACATTGGATTCGACAGACGGCGCTACCATCGCAGTGTCAAATTTTAAATAATATTCAAATTAAAGACGTGTAGACAGGACAACGTCTGTCGGGTCCGCTAGTACTATTATAAATAAGTTACGTAATAATTGATAAAAATTAACAAACTCGCTGAATTTAAAACCAACCTAAACGGCTATACTTTGAATCTAAGGGGATCATTCAGAAACTTAAGATAATATTTATGAACAAACAGGTAATGAAGCTACTGCCTTACAACGCAGCAGTGTTGAAATTAAATAAAAGAGAATAAAATACACACCAATCAATGACGTGTATTCAATAAGACATCGAAGAAGGCGTTACCAGGCGGTTGGTAAAACTTATCATTGTAAGGCCTTAACCCTTGGTCCCTGTAGTAGGGCCACGCATCGGGAATGTATTTAAAGGCGGCTAGCACCCAGGCCATCACCACCATAGCTTTTATACTGGCCACCACAAGAGCTATGCCTAGGATTATCTTGTACAGTCCCACTTTCGCGCCAAATATTATTGCTAGGTGGGCTGTAACAAAGGAAATACAATTACTACGTTGTTAAGTAAATGAGTATTCATTAGATGCCTTGATTTATTATAGAGAAAATAGATGTGAGGTATAAATTATATTAAGAAAAATAATAATAAATGTGAAATGCCATGAAGTCAAAAATACCAATCCTTTCTATATCCATAATAATTTCTATATTACCAATAACTTTGTTGTGCAAAAGGTACAACGTTTATTCATACATATTAGTTGTCGCACAGAATATTTCAATCACGAAATCAGAATATTTTAAACACCCTATAATTTAGATTCCCATTTTGGGATATAATCCCCTCCCTATATTTGAATTTAAATATCTAAATGTATTCAGTGACACATTGTCATGTGTAACGCGCATTCGATTACCAGATGCTATCATTTTCGAGTAAAAAGCGTACGTACAATGGCTGACATCGGAAACGGGGTCATAAACCGCATCGTACCTCCAGTGTGAGCCATTATAGCCCGTATTTCTGCTGTTTTAGGCAAAAAATCGCAAATCAAGGGCACTATTCCCATCCCCGTACTGTAGGCAGGTAGTTAGCGTTAAAATGAAAGCGGTCCGGAGAGCATCGAACAATGATTGAAAAACAACACTTAAGGGATTCTCCGATTTACCTCGATCAGAATCGATTTAAAGACAAAAACATTACTTGGAGTTAATTTCACATAGACTCAGAAATAATGAGGTATGAACACTAAGACTTAAATATACAACCTAACTCTCTTATGTTTAAACATACAGGGTGCTTAATTATTAAGTCACGAAGATTGTAGACATGTTAATTAACAATACTGGGACGTACTTATATTTCCAAAACTTAAATTCATTTCAAATTCATGAGATACTTTATAAATTATGTCTTGAATTAATGTTTTCTAGAATGTATTAAAATCTAAAAATATATAGATTATGTTACTTACTTAATAGTGCGTATTTAGCCTTTCCCCTGCCTTCCACCACATCTTTAGTCTCCGCGTCTTCGCAGTTGACGAAACTCGCAAGGAAGATAACACAAAATATAACAAGCCGATTCATCCTTATTCTTAGTAGCTTACTGAATTTACAAGTTTTAATCCGTCGATAGCTAAGTCTTATAGATACTTAATAACGTTTTTTTTACCAACAAGCACACTGCTCTGTGAATCAAACTGTAATGCCATATCAGTTGTAAGCAAATCCAAGCTCCACGTTGTTATAATGAAGTGATAATAGAAAAGTGACAGTGAAAGTGTCACGTGTCATACATTTATTACGTAAAGTGTTTATCTCGTCATGTAAATAGAGAATGAATTTCACTATCACATCTTATTTAATAATTTGTTTCTCCAAATAACTGAAACATAATTTTGTAGTGTTAATTGTGTGAACACATTTCTAGTAGGGTGTTAACTTGTGTGACCGTTTTGAATCCAGTTTTTGAACACTTACTACAAAATTGTAAAATAAAGTATATTTGAGGTTGCACATTATTTTAGAGCGCCATTGATTTTTTCATTATATAGAAGAAAGAGCCTTAGCTTGCACTACAAACACACGTAATGAATCATTAAATCTTAGCTCGCACACCTCGAAAACGCAAACTGCTCATTATCTGTTTGATTATCATCTGACGCGTTCGTTGCAATCACGGGAGAACAAACCTTGATAATAAAGTTTATTGAAATATAATCAAATACATTAACTTGGGTAATCGGAATTTTTATTTTTTTTATTTTTATACGACGCGCAATAAAAATTACCCTGGCATCCTTTTACTTGCTTTTTATTTTCCCTGTGTAACATATTTATTTTTCTATTACCACTTTGGAAAGGGTCACAGAGAACATCATAAATCACATGCTTATCTCTATTTGAAAATAAAATCTCTTCAGCTAAAAAGGTCTGAGACTTATAATTTATCATTTTAAGTGGACATAACAGAATTTGCTCGATTTTGTTTTGTTCATATTACTTATCTATTATAAATGCGAATGTTTGGATGGATGGATGTTTGTTTGAAGATATCTCCAGAACATGGATCTCGCTAAAATTTGTTATAGATGTAGAACGTAGCCTGGAAGAACAAATAGACTTGTGATTAAGTTTTATTTTTTATTCCAACCGGACGGAGTCGCGGGCGACAGCTACTTAATTATTACATAAGTAACCGATGCTTTGAATAACTATTTGATTATCTTCTACGTTAAGTTGCTTAAAAGTTGTTAACATTCACTTTGTTTTACTTTGCTTTAAAATATTATAAAAAAGTTATATTCAGAATTTTCTATGAAGCTTGAAAAGCTTTGGAATTTTTCTTAGAAATAAAAGTTGGTTGTTATAAGTATGTATAAAAGTTTTCTCAACAAGTTCATTTAATTTACGTTCACTTTACGACTCTCCGAGATAATTTACTGTTTCCATTTATTTATTAAGAGATCGTAAACGTTATTTCATTCAAGCACTACCTTATTTCTTTCTGCTATTTGTTTCTAGGAAATAAAAGTTCCTTGACAACTGTTTTCATAGTATATATCAATAAAATCTGTAAGATTGAAAGGTACGACGACGACGTAATTTTGACCTTTTGATATTTTTTTTGCCTTTTTTAACTTCAAAATTATATAGAAATTACAGTCATGCAATTAATTGCTAATTAGTTAATTTATATACACATAAATAAATTAGAACGGAGCAAGTTTTACTTCTACTATTAATATACTAAAACAGAACTTCCTCATTATCATCTCCGTATTATTATCCCAACTTTAACCTTAATTATTAAAACTTAAATATTCTTGGACTTGGTCACCAAAGAGGCCACGTATCTTGATACGGGACAATTGCTATGGGAATTTGGGATTCCACACTACGACAAAGAATATTGTAAACTCTCTTTAAATTTTAAAACACTAACAAAGGCATTTCCTTGAACAGTTAACGTAGTGTTTTGTTAGCTTACTTTACCGCAAGCTTTAAATAAGTTAGTAGTACTGCTTTATATTATTGTTGTTAACACAACACGTTACAAGCTTGAAATATAAAACTGTAGACTCTACAGTGTAGAGTTTGATTTCTTGATATATTTATTGCAGTCTTTCAACAGCCTTTAAATGTTCTCCTAGAAATTCGCATCAGATGCAGTTCTAAATAAGGTTTCTATCCTAAACACGTGGACCAGTTTTCTTTTTATAATTTTGTAATGATAGAACATGCATCCTATTATTCTACCAAATACTCGGAAGGCTTCAAAGCAGGGATATGTCCAACCTTGGACTGATACAGACTGATCTATCTAATCTTTTATATATTAAGTAGAATATAGAGCAATGTTTTATGACAATGTCATCGTCCATCAAAACCCAAACCCTTTCCTCGTGCGCAAGTCATTTGTCAAGTGGCGGCGGGAAAAAGAAGACGTGCCGACAATCTATCATTTTATCGTTAACTGTGTGTAACGGGTCTAGTGCAGACCAAATTATTTTTAGCTCTGGTATTCAAAATTTCCTTTCAAGCGTTCTAAGTTTATCTCCTTGTCTGCATCAATCCCAATGAAAAAATACCGACAGAAGAATAGATTCGGCAGGCATTTTTTTTGTCTTTTCATCTATATTTTAACGTTTATCGAATACAGTTAGTTAACTTTGTTATAGTTCACAAAGAAAAGCGATTAACTTTGTTCTGCTTTGTTAAGTTAATTTGATACCAAAATATGTCACGAAGCTCGCCCACAAATTTTGGAGAACAAAGAAAAATATATTCAAAGACTTTTGTTTTAGCCTTTACTGCCATTTTCTAATTCTTAGCTTTTCGAAACTACTATATTTTCGGAAAGAAAACATGTTTAAATGTGATTAAAGGAATTATTTCTTTTTCAGACTTGGATTTGCTTTCTTGGTTTTCTTTGCTTTTAGTTATATAAATTTCATATTTGCTTGACAATTTTTCATTTATTACCAAAGAATATGACTAGATTTAAAACTGCTGATACTGATACTGATAATAAAATCACGACCATTACTGAATAAAATATTAAACGTAGTTTTAATGTTATGCAAATTATTTCCATATTATATTCCGTCTTAAGAGACCGCATCGTGATTTACAATCTCTCTAGTAACGGTAGTGTTCGTAAGGCCCGTGAATATCCCAGCTTTATAGGAATTATGCAGCATAATTTATTCACATGCTCGAAAGCCCAGAAAGTTAGCCATAAATTTTAAATACAAGAAAATGTACGGCGCGGCCTCGCCGTCGCCTCGCCTGCGCCTCGCATGCACGCGGTAAGCCACATGTATTACAATGATAATATTTTCCCGTGCACTTCCTTTAAATTTAAAAGTTTACGTTAACTTTACTCATTATACTAGAGCACAAGGAGGAAGAATATGTTTCAAGTTAATAAAGCTAGAGCTAAGCTTTTATAAACTTAGGTAACATAACTGGCTGTGAAGATTTATGTTGTTGAGAATTTTTTTCAAATTATGATTTGTGAAGAATAAATGTAACTCAACTATGCCATGTTTAAAACCTAGAAAAATATATCAAAGTATTACTTAAAATGTGTATTTAACTAACCCATAAGTTTAGGATCTCTAGGTAGAAGACTGTTAAAAAATCTCATATTTCTAAGTTTGTACCTAAATCGACCTTTTCTCTTGAGGCGGCCCATATGCTGCAGTGTTCTTACGAGAGGCAAAAACCGATACATTGCATTTAACTGATCTCCTAAACAAAACATAAAGGACGACTCAATATAGGAGGAACTAATAGCCGTTGGACTCTTGTCCTCCCAGCGCATCTTGCATTGCGCTACGTCCATGAAGCAATGGTTCTGGAACATCAGAGAAGGTTCCCGAGCAACGATTCCTGGTACACCGCACACTGGTGCATACGTATCCGGACATTTTGTAGGACATTTATGGAAACAGGAGGACAAAGTTGGACTGTGCATGTAATCATCACTAACATTAGATGGAATAGTAGTCCAAGGTTGAAATACCTTTACCGGTCCAGCTATTTTTATCTCTCTTCTTCGTGTTATCTCATTTACCAAGTCAGGTGATACCTCACGCATTGGCATATCAAGAACATGAGTCGCTGCAAAAAAATTTCCAATGGTGTCATTGATATTATTTTTGAAACCCAACATATTAGCGTCTATGACAACAATGTTCTTTAATATTATATCCTTAGGATCCTCATTAAGTTTAATTGGATCTTCATTTAATGTTGTAGAATCATATAATAAAGTAGATTTGCAAATAAATAAATCTGTTTCAACAAATTCAGAATTCGTTTGACAATTATGCTTTTTAAGTTGACATTCAGTTTCAAATATCCTTATTTTATATCCAGCGCCGTGCTTTTTAAGTCCACAAATTCTCGTTTCTTTATTTCTTAAGGTACAATTGAGTTTTGTGCATTCATCTGATTTCACTTTATGCTCCGCTTCGATGATTTCGTTATTAAATTCTGCATTAAGATAGTCGTCTTGTAAGAAAGCTTTTTTACAGTATTCTAAATTGATTATTCCATATGTTTTATCATTTTCTACTTTGCATCCATATTGTAATAGCTGACATTCACTTTCAAACAATTTCAATCGAAAACCGCCAGACTCTTCGCGTATACCACAAACTTGAATATTTGGCCATTCAGCGCAATTAAGATTTTTACAGAATTCCAATTTCTCTATATCTATATTTTCTGACTGAACTACGCAAACCAACATCAGTATAACATGGTACGAATCCATTAGTGTAATGTAATAGTGAAATTAACGGGTCGTAATTATTTTTTGCACACATAAAAAATACAGCTCTTATAACAGAATTACCATGAAATTGAAATGGCAACATTTTTATGCCTCAAACAACATTTATTCGCTAGAAAATACTGCGATTGCCAGAATAATCTCTATAATGTTATAAAGGATCAATATGCAGTCGAACAGTGGAAATATATTTCGTCAACAGTAAGGTACCTTAAACTACAATTAATTTAGTGAAATTTTGCATCTTTTAGCTATTTGTTAACTTAACGTAGTTTAAATCCTTTCAGTGCAATCCAGCGTAATTGTATTCCTTCACGGACTCCCCATCTTCGTAAAATCTGCAAGAAACAGTCGTTATACTGAATAATTTATAAGTCTAGCCCAAAACATTGTGTTTTAAAGTTATGTTTTAAAAGTCAATTAGTGTAGCAGACTGAAAACCTATTCGTATATTAAAACAATTTTAATGGACATCTTTATAAGTAAACTTTGTTCACATTAATTTCTCTTTATTTCAATTTAATTACTGTAGTCAATAGTTGCCCTTTTTACGACGAGCAAACAAAACATAAGAAATTTCTGTAAAACACACGTTTTTCTACTAAGTACAAGTGATATTATTGTTATGCTAATCACTTTCATTCTAAATAAAGTGAAAATTTTTAAATGCGTATCGTTTAAACGTCGAGGCACGCTGGCGACTCGCCAAACAAAGCGGCTTTAATTGGCTCCGTACAAGTTCATTAGTTCCAGCGAGAGAAAAGTCCAAGCGATTTGTTTAACATGAGGAAAACAAAGGATCACTTTCCTTCGCACAACAAATACGAACTGTATTAAAAACGGCTTGGTATTCATTTACCAACTCTACTAGAGAACAGGTCTCTTCAAATCAGGATTTAAAAGATATTTTCGGAAACAGGAAACTACTTCCGAAATTAAAAGTTTTATGGTAACTTTAAAATAACTCGAAACAAAATTAATTTGAGAATAAAGTTTAAATTAGCTAGACAAGTTCAAAATGATAAAAACAGTGTTGTTAGTATTTGTAATTATTGGATTTTGTTATTGTCTGGAAACCAATGATTTACTAATAGAAGAAACAAGAGCTAAGAAGAAGAAAGGCTCCGCTAAACTCTTAGGTAAGTGATTTTCAAAGTATTTTTACTTCATCGTGGGGATTTCCTGCAATCTTACGGTTTTTGATTTTTACATTGTTGAATAAGAATAAAGAGCTCCCAAAAATTTATTTGGGTGATTTCTATCCACGATCACCATCATTGTCAGTTAATTATTTAGTTTGTTTTGGAACTACTATTTGCGGGATATTACTTGGATTGAGAGCTCTTCTGACCTAGACATTTAGTGGAAATAATTAATACATGCCTAGTAAAATTGAGCAAGACAAAAGAAAAAGAAAAGTATTTGCATTACGACGGGTGTGCTAACTAATTCGACACGGACTCGGTATTAGTGTAATCTTAGTGGCGCCGACTGCTGGCTACGGGAGATAACTAAATGCTCTAATCATACGCTAAGCTGTGCCTACAGCTCTGCGGAACAGTCACAGATCTTACACAAAAATACCGGCTTAGATACGCCTCGACGAAATCTTCCAAGCTATAATAAATCCTATTTCGCCTTCGTCTTTTTTCATGTTTTTAATATGATTAACATAATTTAAACCATTAACACACTTTGATGCTATAAATTTTAGCGATTGTTGTACACAATCATTAATTAGGTAATCAAAATAATGGCTAAAGTTCTTCTATCTGCTAACTGCGGATGAATAGACTAAACGAGAACGTCTGTTGCAGAAGATCAATACCTAAACAGGTATTAGGGCATCAATGACCAGCAATAGGCAACTTTTTCTTGATGATAACAAATTATCTTCTTTCCAGGTATGATCCTCCTGTTCATCTTCTCAAAGGTAGCGATATTCAAAGCTGCGTCCGTCTTCTTCATGATGGCGTTCTTCCAGAAGCTCTTTTATCTGTTCGGTCTTTTCGTCAACTATTTCCTAAAGAATAAGTCGAATAAGCCCTCTCCAGCCCCCGTGTATGGCGCACCATCAGATTACAATACTGTTGGGTACAGTTACGGTCCTCCGGAACATGAGGCTCATCACCAGGAATCTGGTTATCCTGGAATATCGGAAATCGGAGGAGCGTTTGACTGGCTCGTGCATAAGAACGTTAAGTGATAATAAAATGTGTGTGTAATTTTGTGTTTTATTTGTATTTTGATTTGGTTGGAGCTGGCGGTTCAATGTATTTTTTTAGCAATGATACATTTTAAATATGTTATCTTGTAAACTGTTATGTAAAGTGTGTATAGTGTCAAATTGGTTGTGTACTGTATTGATGCTATGCAGTTTTTAAATAAATAAATAAATAAATATTTTTTTTTTCAATCGGTGCCCCTGAAGTAATTTTTGTTATTTAAATTACATAATTTCACCTTTAAATGTCGTTATGGGTTTAAAGATTACAAGTGAAGCATCCACTCTTTGTAGATAATATTTACAAACTTGTGGAAGATGCTCCGCCTGCCGGCACACCGCGACTATAAACTACTTGAAGCCGCGCCGTGGACTTTGTAGAATTTAAATTAGATTTCAGGTGCATTTCGACTTAAAAGATCCACGGGAAAATATATTATAACATTTAATCGTCGCCGAAAACTTTGTTTCATTTTCAAGCAGTTAAATAAATTTAAATTGATGTTCGTAGATAGAGTGGGATATGGAGAAATGGTATTTTTATATGAACTTACATGAAATAGCACTGAAGTGACTTTAAATGAATCTGATTGTTAGAGATGCAATTAGTCGCAAGCTGGCCTGCTGGCGTCAGCTCGCTGCAGCTTTGCTCAGATTTATAGCCGTTCTACTGGTTCACTAACTTATTCAGTTACAATCTTGCCACGAGGTAAATTGGCTACCGCGGAACGACAATTGCAAATTTACACAACTTGAAACTACCACAGTTGTTGCAACATATTACTAGGGATGTAATGTGTATTGCCATCTGCTTACTTCTCTTTGCTAACAATTAAAATAGACGATATTAATAAATATTTTACTTGAAATGGTCAAGACAATTTTAAATAAATCCTATTTTATCCAGAATAAAACAAAGTTTATCAAAGAAAGTGTGGCAAGGAGCGCGGCTCAGGCGGCGAGAGTTTGTAGACTCGACCCCCCAGCCGGCGCGGCTTCAAACTTTAGCCGTCTGCGGAAAAGCAATTTTAAAAAATACCACTTTACCGAACGTTTGACGTCGAGTGAAGTATCGATACGAAACTCTAGCGTTCCCATTGCCGAGGATTAAAACCTGTGATTGCGCTCGTGAAATATAGTTTCAGCGCGGATTTTGTTTTGCTAATGGTACATGTTTTTTTTTAATTTTTGTTTGATTTCTAATTTTCATTACTTATCGATTAGTAAAAGCTGTGACTTATCAATGTCGTTGAGAATGTTACGTTACTTTAAATTGATAATGTTAACAAGATTGGAGTTCCACTCTGATGTAATAGCAGATGTAACCGCAGTGTAGCGGTGCTTTAGAGTGCTCGGCGATTGTGAGCGAACTGTGCGCGATATTTTATACGATTTCAGTTAACATTTAAACAAAGGTTTCATTGAAGAAGTCAAGTGTTAACCTTTAACTACTTTAATTCCAATTGTACTTAGATTATTTAAATAATAATTTATAATAGTTTTTGGAAACAAATCGTATCGAATTGGAATTTATAGTATTATGGTGTTTTATTTTTGTGAATAAATAAAATAAAAACAACCTTTCACATAATTAAATATCCCGTCCTCTAACCTTGAGCGTCCAGTTAGGCTTTGAACTAATCACTGACACCAAACTTTCTCTATATAATTAAAACCGTTTTTTTTATTAATTACTTTATAAGCGTTTAATCTCAAAAGATTTATGTCGTGTAGTATTTTAATTTAATTTTTTGTAGCTCAATACAGCAGTTCTGAATTTCAAATGTTATCGGCTAACAGCTAGACCTCGATTGGCATATTTGAATTACAAATAGCACGCCTCGTAACGTTATTACGTCGCTAGTAATTGAAGTGTACCGCCGATATACGAATTATGAATGTTTTACATATAATATTAGTATTTTATTTTAGTAATCGTTGTCTCATTTATCTAATAACAAATAAAATACACACAGACACTAATAATAAAAAATTTATCTTACTAATATTATAAATGTGAATGCTTGAATGTATGTTTGTTAGATGGTATCTCCAGAACGACTGCATGTTACTGTTTGTTATAGATGAAGAACCTAGCCTGCAAGAATACATAGAATAGCATTTTTTTTATTTCCGCGCTGACAAAGTCGCGGGCGACAGCTAGTATCACGTATATTCGTTCTTACTAACGTTCGACGTTCTTACTAAATTTAGTAAAGGATGAAAAACAAATTTGTATTTACCCCTGCAGACTAAATTTCTTTAATATCTCAGTTTAATATTTCGTATTTCAATATCTCGAACACAACGGATATCTATAACAAATTATTCCCTCCGACCGCGGGACGTCCGCCTCGTTAGCCATAACTTAATTTTATAACCTCAAAGATCATTCGTTTCGTAATGAATTCAATTTATATTCTTATTTTTTGTTAAACGATACGAAATGAAGAACAGGATTATTAAAAAAATAGATGCTTTTATTTTTTATAGCATATTTATACTCTACCTTTTCATATTGACGTTTTTTCCACTCACGAACACTGGCAACACAATAAACTATTAAAAAAAAACAAATATGAATAAAACCAGATACTCAAGTTTTTGAAAAATAATTTTAATAACGGTTTATATATATTTGCAAATAAACTTTACCAAAACTATTTAATACAAAGGAAACGTTTCACAGAACAATATTTTAAAGTTAATTTTATATCGAAGAAGAAAATTTATTGCAAAACCAGCAGAATGTTCGAGAAACAATAAATGTTTGCGCTGGACATCTACCAGGAATTATTTGTTTTACTTCATGCGGGAGTACATGAAAATGTTTTATTTATATGTAAACAGCAAGCATCATATATGTTTGTAGAACATATAAATATTCAAACATATTTTCTTACTGGAGTTGACCTGACATTAGGAATAGAAAATTATAGATCTATCTATATTCTACTATTTATATATGCGTACTGTAGTTTATAATATTACTAATATTATAAATGCGTACGTTTAGATAGATGGACGGATGAATGGATGGATATTTGTTTGATGGTATCCAAAGAACTGATAAACAGATCTCGCTATAATTGGGCATAGTTATAGAACATAGTCTAAAAGAACACTAATTGAGTTTTTTGAACTCCGCGCCGACATAGTCGCAGGCGACAGCTAGTACGAGTAAGTCATATATTTAAAAAAAAATGTCGATCATTAAATCAATAAGTATACCAGATCATTAAATACGGATCATTCCTTAAAAAGTAATCCAATATTGCACAATGCATCCACTTACGAATTTTATGATATGATGAAATAGGAAAGTTGAGAAGTTGCGAACAATTTGAAGGCATTCCGACCGTGTCGTAAATACTCGACCTGAAAATGTTGAGCGTCTCATTTCGGAACTTTATCCAGGCAAGTCTCACTCCCGCCACTGAAAAGTTAACTGAAACGATTCTGAAACTATTCACATCGGTATTATTTTTTCAGTTTTGTGATACTTTTTCGTGATTTGAATTTTTATGAAGATCTCTTTACATTTATCACTCATCTGTAGAATTGACTTAATTACAACAAGAATTTTATATACTAATTCGTTAGATTTGCTTAAAATTTTTACGCGAAATTGAGGCTTATTACAAAGTAATTCTGTATACTTTTTCGTTATTTAATAACAACCAAAATAGATATACTAACTAAACATGTTACTATGAACTGACCAAGTTTCCTTCATAACCAAATAGCTTTTACGCAACGATGCTGCAGTACTCAGTACTAATATACAAGTCTTGAGAAACATAATAGAACAATTTAATGTCGTGATTGTGCTCCAGTGGTTTGGTTAAGTGCTCGAAGTGCTGAGGTTATTGCACGAAGAGTGAAGGTTCAAATTAGAGGCGAGGCAAAGCACAGTTTAGTTAAGTGGCGCGTTACCTACTCACATTAGATAAAGCTCCGAGAAGCGTATCTTGTAACAGGACATGACTACTCATATATTCTGACTCAGTTGATTACATCGGAATTAGCATGTTAAAGAGGCGTTACTTTGCCCAACAACTGCATAGCGTACTTTTTTTATAGTTGAAATTTATGGTCTCATAAAAATAGGAAACTTGTTGTTAACGAGCAGCGTTAACACCTAGGTGTTGATCAACACCCATGACCATCTACAATACCAAAGTAACCGCAGATGAGTTGCCGACCTATGTGATGGTGATACGCTCGCTTCTTGAAGGACCCTAAGTCGTAGCGGTTTGGAAATACCGCCGAGGACAGACCATTCTACAACGCGGCTGTGCGAAGCAGGAAGTTGTTGGGTATAATCCGTCTTCTTCAATGAAGTTATTTTATTTAACATCGTCGCAATAAATGTTGGTGTCATTTAATATAACCACTAAGTGAGATAAATTATGATTTTCGCGGCGAACTCTCGAAATCATAATTATGGCAAATTGCCAGTTTCATGTTCGCGTAATGCGACATATACAAAATTTAATTTATTTAATTGAACATAATTACGAGTCGTTTAATTTATTAGAAAAAAAGATAGATGGATTCGGGAATAAAAGCCCAAAACCATTGTTATAATTATTAAAAAAATGGCAGTTGCCCGCGAATACGTCCGTTCGGAAGTAAAAAAATTAATAAGTAGACTATATGTTCTTCCAGGCTATTACATCTATGCAAAATTTTAGCGTTCTGGAGATACCTTTTAACTAAAATCTATCAAAATATTCCTTTTTATAATATTAAGATTTTCGTCTTTTTACCCTTAAGTAATGAAAATAATATTTTCTTAAATGTTATCACTAACCTGAAAATCACATCGTAAATCCGTATATATTTAACGAAGCTAAGGAACAAGTTTTTCTACCATTTATCAATATAGCTCGATGCCGATACCCGGAGAGCTTGATAAATTGTTTAACTTTTATACAGCGCGACTATTTTCCTATCTACATTTTATTAAGGTTAAAAAG